AAAAATCGAAAAAAAAAACAAGATTCAAAGAGAAAAAAAAGATGGGTAAAGCTACACGGTGGTTCAAGGGCCTGCTCGGAATGAAAAAAGGTAAAGAGAATGTCGACCGCAATTCGGATTACGGCGAGAAGAAGGAGAGGAACAGGTGGTGTTTTGTTAAGCCCGCTAAACACTCCGGCGGGACGGCTCAGATTCCGGCGAATGTACCACCGTCGGCGGATGAGCAGAACAAGCACGCGATTGCGGTGGCTGCCGCCACAGCCGCCGCAGCGGACGCGGCAATCGCCGCAGCCCAGGCGGCGGTGGCGGTGGTCAGGCTCACCAGTCAGGGCAAAGGGGTTTCGTTCTCCGTCGGCGGCGGCGGCGGCGGCTGGGAGAGATCGGCCGCTGTGAGGATTCAGACTATGTTCAGGGGCTATTTGGTAGGTGGAAATATTTTTCTTTGTGTTTGTTTGTTAGTTGTTAATTATTATCCCAATTATTTAATTGCTGAGTATCTTTTGTTTGAATGCTGAAAATTTGAAATTTGAATATTTTGTGTGTAAACTGTAAATGTTACTGTTGAGTGTTGCTATAGAATGTCAAAGCTAAGATTTTTTTCTTGAACTTCTGTTATTAGAATTTGTCAAAAAAACATGAAAAGATTACACCTTTTTTTCTGGGCATTTTGCTAACTTGGTCTGATTTGTTTGTTGCCATGCTTTCAAATGGCAGGCCCGAAAAGCTCTAAGAGCTCTTAAAGGGCTTGTGAAATTACAGGCTCTCGTCCGAGGCTACCTTGTTCGAAAACGAGCAGCCGCAACCCTTCACAGCATGCAAGCTCTCATTCGAGCACAAACGGCTATTCGGGCCCAAAGGGCACGTCGATCAATCAACAACGACCCTAGACACCAGCCCGATATCAGATCAAGAAAGTCCATTGTAAGAGTTTTGTCCCAACCCGTGTGGCCCGATCCTAATTTACCCACAAAATCGAACTCGATTGATTGTGATTTTTCGTAATTTTGCAGGAAAGGTTCGATGAGAACAGGCCCGAATTTCACAGCAAAAGGCTGTCGCCATCTTACGACCCATTGGACCTCAGCCCGAAAATAGTCGAGATCGACACTTACGGGCCCAAGTCAAGATCCCGAAGGATCATCAACCCTTGCACGCCCGAATTCGAGGAAGACCAATACTACTCGTCCCCCATCCCGTGCCCGGCTCGGTTATCGATACCCGACTATCGTCACCTACGGGACTACGAATGGGACTTTACGGCCGAGGACTATAAATTTCCCACGGCCCAAAACACCCCAAGATTGGGATGTTCGGGCCGGGCCTACGGCCCGATTTTCACACCGACCAAGAGTGTGTGTGGGGACATGAGCTACTTGAGGCCTTACTCGAATTGGCCCGGCTACATGGCGAATACGGAGTCGTTTAATGCGAAGGTGAGGTCGCATAGCGCCCCAAGGCAAAGGCCCGACTCGGGCTCGAAGAGGAGGCTCTCGTTGAACGAGGTTATGGCGTCGAGAAGTAGCTTTAGTGGTGTGAGGATGCAAAGGTTGTCTTGCTCAAGAGCTCAAGATCAAGATTATGGATTTTCTAAGTATGAAGGTTAATTTCATGTTTGTTTGTTAACTTAGGTTGTTTGTTGTGTTAGGCATTGCATTAAGAAGATGATAATATAGCTTTGTCTATAGAGAAGATTAAAACTAACACAAAAATAACCATCTCAATGCTTTTTTTTTTTTTTTAATTGTTTTGGTATTGTTTTGTTTTGGAATAGAATGCATGTGTAAATTTCTTTGACAATAATCATGTTTAGGCTAAACATTGATTATAATGAATTGAAATGCTATTGTTAATTTCTGAAAGTCTTGTTTTTAACCGTTGTAATCACGCGTTGCATCATGTATGTTCAAAAGATTTAGTTTATTCGGTTTAAACTTTAAAGTCAATGTCAAGTATAATAGTCTTCTATATAAGAACTTGTTTTGTCGGGAGATTACAGAATGATTCTATAACGGGACCGTAGCATTTCTCTATTTTGTCTCTGTTCTTTTTATTTTAATTTTTGAAATAATACTTTCCCGCCCTGCTTAATTTATGATATAAGTTAAGTATGTAGTGCAAATAATGAAATCTCCATGTGACATGGTCATAATAAATAGTAACGCCATTTGCTCATTTATTTATATTTATTTTGGGCACATTACTCAATTTTCACGTCATGATTGTTGTTGCAACATGAAAACAGTTGTCCTTGGCAAATTAAATTAAGGAGAATTATATTTATTCCATCTACAATTGAGTATTGACAAAAGAATATTCTTCTCTTTCTCTTTAGTACAGCATATATACAACTTAAATATATTCCCTGCCCACGGTGGGCAGTGTCCACTA